GCTTGCTACACAACAAAAAAATGTCCAAGATATAAAACAGTTTTTTGTTCGGAATTGTTGTATTATAAAGTACTATGAAGTTTTCCAACTGGCAAATTACATGATCTAGTGGGTTGTCTACGGTCATCTTTATTCATGATTTAAGGAGCCTTAGCATTGGACGACAGGGGAGGAAGCAATTTTCAAAAGCCATAATGCTAACGGTTAGCATTTTGGCAGATCACCTAATGCACTTTTAAATTATGACAAATTATGACAAATTTTGGAGTTTCACATTGCAAAAATTTAAATAATAATAATAAACACAAGGCTGCTATCTCATGACCTAAATGTAAGAACACTAAACTAAAGACACCACACCCATATTGTTCACAGTCAATGATCCTGACATTCCAAAAAACAGGCTTTCCACATACTTCCCAAACACTGCACATGTAGCCACTCAGATCATCGTAGATGCATTTTTGGCGTGGCACAACAGACATTCAATCAAATCTGAACAAACAACAAAAGAAGGCCTATGTTTGTTGACAGGCTGCATTCCAACCAAACTGAAGACATCTAAAACAAAGCTGCTCTTATGGTTACAGTTTGGCTGGTAACGTGAACAGTGGGGAAGAACAGGATGGGGTGGAGATGAGCGGGTCTGACAGATTCTCACACTGCAGTTAAGAATCTGGCAGCATGTTTTCCTCCAGCCACTTCACTGAATGAGACCCCAAGGAAAGGGGGAACAACAGCAACAACAGATCCACAGAATGAAGCTGGCCACTTTACCAAGTAATGACGCCACAGAAACCCAAAAGAACCAGCACTCAGAAAACCTGCTGAACCCAACAGGAGCATTTGGACATTGTCCTTCTTCAGTCTTTAACAAAAATGCTGTGATAATCCATATACTGGCTCATGTGAATGCTTTGGTCAAAAGGTCTCATTATTGATTTATATATTTTAGATATAAAGTACAAGCGTGTGGTTTTCAAAGAGGGGGTTGGGGTCGGACAACATTGAGTGCGTTTACATGGATACCAATACTCTGGAAGACAATACTCTGATTAAGAGTCTACTATGTAAACAACGATTTTTAATTAGCTTAATTGGACTAAAGTCAAAATCAAACTAAACAGAAATGGAATTAAGACATGGAGCATTACTAATTTAGTCGCATTTTTGAAGTGCAGTACAGACATGTAAACACCTTAAACTATTATTGTTTTGTAGTCCTTTTTGCTACATTTAGCGACAGGACACACACAGGGCAGTTGTCAATCATTTAACGACAAAAAAATGAGAACGGTTTCAAGCAATAGAGCTCATTTTTGGTATGAGTAGAAAAGGATGACTATGCTGAAAATTCTCACACAGTAGAAAAAAATACGGGTTTCCTTAATTTAAGCAAAATCAATTAACGAGTCCATTGAACTTATATTATGTGAAGCTGACTTAAAACAGCTTGCGTAACTTATAAAATTAGGTTAGAACATGATAAACTTAGTTTAATAAGTTACAATGTCCTAAAAACATGCTGTCAGGACTAATCATATATGGATATATTTACAGTGCACTAGTCCTTACTGCGTGCTGTCATCAAGTACAAGTTTTTCACGGGGGCATGAATGAAAAGTAAGTGAATGAAATGGCAGAGGTGGTCTATTGCTTAAGAATTTGTATGTACTGTTGTTTATTTGCACATAGTGTGAGAAATTAACTGCAGTTGATCTTGTAGCAAAATGAAAAACAAAAAGCCCAATATCACATATGGTGACGGAAAAAACTATTGTTGCATGAAACGGCTGAGGAAACTAGCGTTGAATGGTTAGATAATGATGTTAATCGAGCTATGTTCTCATTCAGTCATTGATTTTTAGCTTAGTCCCATTATTAAAATGGGGTTGCCACAGCAGAATAAACCACCAATTTATCCAGCGTATGTTTTACACAGCGAATGCCCTTTCAGACGCAACCAATCACTGGGAAATATCCATACACTCTCATTCACACACACACACTCACACTCTACGGTCAATTTCAGCATAACCAATTCGCCTGTACCACACATCTTTGGACTCGTGGGGAAAACCAGAGCACCCGGAGGAAACTCGTGAACACGGAGAAAACATGCAAACTCCACACAGAAATGCCAACTGACTCAGCTGAGTCTCGAACTAGTGACCTTCTTGGTGTGAGGCGAATGTAGTACCCATTAAGCCACTGCGTCAATCTCGAACTATGTACTATAACATGTAAAATAGATACTACATGTAATAGAAAATATTAAAAGAACATTCAAAAAGCAACACCTTAATCATATTATTGTCTTATTCAGATCAGGGCAAATAATTAGATTACTGATGTTCATGTAAACGATCAATGAAGTGGGTTAGGAGTGTCACTTGGAGATTTCCAAAAATCAATTAAACTATTAGAAACACCATTTTTACCTATAACGTAAAAGTTCTTTTTTAAACTGTATGCAAATACAAAGTCAACAGCCTTTCGATTTTTTTTCTCCCTATTGGATTGCGAGATCTGTGGTGATCATCCTAAATTAGGACCCAGCAATACCGCCATTTGCAGCAAATACATTTTACAGCACCATGTTAAACTTTCCGAAACTCATGTATTTAAATGCAGGTGAGGTCATAAATGAATGTGGAGGATGATCTCAGAGTGGACGTCTTCATAATGAACATAGTACTCTTCGTAGTGAACTTTAGTTCGTCAAACAGTTAGATCGCTCCATGCAAATACCCTAGAGCAGGTGCTAACCAATCACATTTACGCAACAATGGGAAAGCAATGCGATTGGCTGTTGTCCTTTGTGAAGTGTAGATGCTGACGTGTATTGAGAATGAACCGTGAAAAGCACAGCAGCGCAGGTGTGGCAAACTTTGAAGCATGTGTAAATATCATCCCAGGTGAATGTGGTGAAGATATGCAACAAGGCGACATCGTAACTAAGCCAGTAGTCATGGAAAAGGCCAGACTTGAGCAAGATTTTAAGCAGCTTTCTTGCCCACACTATCATAGCGGTAAAATATGCATCTGAACCATAGATCTAAACAGGATTCTGACAGTTGTTGGCTTATAACTAGGGCCAGACGAAATCTGCGGACATTTTTTTGCCATTTCCGTGGAGAATTTTGATAAAAATGTGTGGATTTCTGCTGATTTATTTTAGGAGTATCGTAACTAAAACCTTAATATGTGAAATAAAAATTATATTTTAAAGTTTTATTCAATGTTTGCTATACAAATGCAATTAGATCCACAATATTTAGTAAACAAAGCAAGTCTGTCATATATTATTTCTACCAAAAGACAGAAAAAATTACTCTACACACTGCATTGTACATTAATCAGATGAACATTTTCATATTATTACATTAATAATATCACTGTAATTATTTTAAAAATTTAATAAATATAGATTTACACACATTTACTCATGTAAATTAACAGAATTAATGATGGACTAAAAATCTGCGCAAATCTGTGGAAAACCTGTAGAATTCTGTGCGTGCAGATTCCGTGTGGGCCTACTAATAGCCTTTGTCTTTGTGCATTATGTTGTTATGAATCAGTGTTCAGTTACAATCTCAGAAAAACGTGCAGTAATCAGCGTGTTGACTGCATTTATTTAGCACTAATACTAGCCTGTGCTAATGTAAGTCAACTTCCAAAAAAATCTGAAATCGTTCAGCCCCTAACACACACACACACACACACACACACACACACACACACACACACACACACACACACACACACACACACACACACACACACACACACACACACACACACACACTAGTAAAGACAAGGTGGTCAGACTGGTTGGATTATATGAATGAGTAAAATCAGGTCTGTGCTGTTTTCATTAGCTTTTGTGTTGCTAATTCATGTTTTTAGAATCACTTTATTGCTTCCCTCCACAAATCTCCTTTCTACCAAGTCAGTGGCTTTACTTGATTTATTTTGAAATATTCTTTTTTTAACATTAGATTCAAAATTAAGCACAATTTACTATAGTCTTACTATTATTTTCTTTTTATTAACTGTAATAGTAGACATGTTCAATTTGTCATGCTTTTAGATGGGACAGTAGAGATATGACAGAAAGCTGGGGTAGAGAGAAGGGAATGTAATCAGTAAAAGATCGCAATACAGCAACATGTTCGATGTAAATATAACCACAAGCCTATCAGTATTTACAGAAATTATATATTTTTGAAATCATATATGAATGACTTAGGAAGTAGTATGCTGACATTTAAAGGGACATATTTTACATTTTATATTAAATAACTGCATTTTCAGTGCCAGTCTGGGAACAACTTGAATTTAACACAAAAAATATGACCTTCCTTGAAATCTAAGGTGTCTACAAAAGACATCTCAAAAGTATGTGACATTTATGCACTCCCATGAGCCTCTCCTCTGATCTATGATGAATACTTGAAATGTTCAGAATAATGCAGAAAGAGCTGTTTTGTACTGTAATGTTAATGTATGGATGTGTGTACACCAGGTAGTTGAAAACAAGACCAGCCTATTAAAGGGATAGTTCACCAAAAATTAATGTTTTGCCATCATTTACTCATCCTACACCTATTCCAAACCTGTTTGACATTCTTTACTCTGTTGAACACTAAAGGAAGACACAATATCCTGAAGAATGTTGGAAGATGCACCCATAGACTTCCATAGTATTTTATTCCAACTATGAATGTCAGTGACTGGTGCTTTCCAATAACATTCTTCAGAATATCTTCTATTCATCAGAAATAGAAATGTGAACAACTTGAGTGTGAGTAATTGTTGAGGAATGTATTTATTTGTTTGGATGGATTATATCATAAAAAAAACACATTAGCTTTGAGCATTGACATGCTGCTGTGGTGTACATGAGACTGACTAAAAATGTAAGTAGAGTGTAAAGTGATATTGGCTTCTCCATTTTTTCCTTTGCTGTGATTGGTGGTCGGAGATCTACTTACCACTACATGGTGGAAAAGGAGTTCCCAAGAATGAATGATCTTCTGATTGATCACCATATCTAAGAAGTCATATATGAAGTATCCTAAAACATAAAGAAGCATATTAGCACTATATTTCTGTTCTCTACCCCCATCTTTCACTTTACAGTAGGGCGGCACGATTCTGGCTAAAATCAGGACTTTTTTGGTTTCAATATTTTTATTATTAGAAATTTTCACAGACATTCACTTGAAAATACACCTTTTTTTAAACATAAACATAAAACTTGCATTCTTACAATTAGACATTGAAAAAGAAAATAAATATAAAAAACAACAAATAACACTCATAAAAATAATAATTAAACAAAAAATAAATAAAATAAACATGCATTCCCCCAACCAACAACCCACCAGTGTTATCCAACAATAAACGTAGGTACTAAAGGCATAGCAAACATTTATTCACAAATTTGTAAAAAGGAAATAAAAGGGGACCAATTTTTTCAAATAATAAAATTTTGTCTATGAGAATATATCAGATTTTTTCCAGATGTAATGTACCTGTTAACTCTGCAGCCATAATATAAGAGTTGGAACTTCTTTTTTTCTTCCAAAACAACCCATATGAAACAAACTGTTGTTGTACCCGTGTAAGTCTCAAAAATTCTTCAGAACCTCCAAATTTAATTAGTGTAGGATCTGGTTCAATCGGAATGTCTAATGTAGGGATGCAACAATACAGTTAGCTCACGGTTCAATACATACCTTGGTTTTTTAACATGGTTTTCGGTTCGGTTCTCATTGCTTGACGTGTTTTTTTTTTTATTATATAGGCAATAGGAACAGTGAAAGGTTAAGGAGAAAAAAAATTAAATAAAAACGATTTATTCCAATACTCATTTTGTTTTGCTTAATAGCCAAGAAAAGTAAACTAGTTCCTAGTGTATTGTATATAAAAAATATATATGTATTGTAAACACTGAAATCTCACAGTGGCTGGTAGCCCATGTACAGACTGGGGAACACATAAAATCCTACACTTTGATAATAAACATACATGTGAAGCTAATAAAGATAAAATGGCTATTTCAAATAAAAAAAATGTTGTCTTTAAGCAAACATAAATATACCATCTTGTCTCGGTGCTGAAAAAATGCAAGACTTTGGTCTGTAACGTGGATCGAGTGCTTTTACAAAATGACAAAAGCCCACATCTCCAATCACCAAAAACGGCTGCAAATCTTTAGCAATAAACACCCGCATTGCCTGTTTTTTTTTGTGTGTGTCTCTCAGAACCAGTTGGGTAGATTCAGCGAAGGATTGTTGCTATTTGGAGGACTATATTACCTTCTCTGCTATTCTGCCTTCAGACAGTGATATTGCTGGGTAATGGCGCTGCAGATATGCAGTCATGGTTATACGTGTAACACTATCCTTGCACACAGTTATTTTTTGTTCACCGTTTTTTCTTTTATTGGCATTAGACTTACCGGCAAAACTGAAATGTCCACACGATGTTAGAGCGTGGAATTATGATCAAGCGCCCCCTAACTTTAGAGCATAGTGATTGGATATACTTGTGGGGAGCTCATGGATTTAGAGGCACACACAGTCAATTCGGGGAGACATAAAACTTACATAAATTATTTAAACGCAAAACCGAAATTCACAAGCGCGCATTGAACCGTGGAGGTCGTACCGTACGGTTCAATATTATATTAAGAACCATGGCATCCCTAGTCTAATGTAACTAAAATCAGAATTTTTTTTTTTTTTGCTTAAAATCAAGATGTAAGATGTAAAATAAAGGTTAATACAAGTAGGTTATTGTTATTATTTCTCAAACATATGGTAAAACAATAATGATAATGTCACAGCTGCTGTCCCTTTGAGAAAAAATAAAACATACATGCAAATCATACTTTCCGCAGGGCTCCCAAGCAATCGGTCTGTGCACCAATCTGAACGTTATTTACAACTTTATCACCTGTTATTTACAGCCTATACGGAATCTGTTCACTAAATAGACATCATTGGCGGACACACACGTGTCCTCTCAGTACTATACAAACAATGTGTCGGCTCATGCGTGATTTTGCATCACTAAGACAGAAATGACATTTTGGGATGAATTATACCTTATAAATGCAGTATGTAACACTTTAACACCATTTGGAGGTGTCCATGTTGCTGAGCAGCGTATATAAAACAATGTGAAGACTTGTGCGTCTGCCTTTACACTTCTCTCCTGACCTTGAAAAAATAATTTACAAAAAAGCAGAATTAAGATCGCGTGTGGGGTCGAATCGAGATTGTGATCTTTTTTCGATTAATCGTGCAGCCGTACTTTACATAGAACTAATGTTATTTTTATTATATGAGCAAAAGGTGAAAAGCCGTCTTCAAGAGTCAATGGATGAAAGTAATAAAGCTTTGGTTTTGTTAATATTATTAAATATATATATATTAAATACAGTTTTTTCACTATCACTATCATACATTCTTACCATGATTTTCAGATTAAATAATTCAGGGTAACAATATTTAGCTCTTGTCAGGCATATTTAGATCAAGAATCATTTGATGGCATGTTATATGCAAGGTTTATAACTGACATCTATTTGACGACATTTTGATTTCCCTCTTGAAATTTATTTAAAACAATAAATACAGCTTGCATACAAGTTCTATCTATAAAATCACTTTTGTAAATCTAAGTTGATGCTGGCACCGAAATGTCTTTGACCCAAGTATTCAAACTGTTAGATTAGATTAGATTAGATTCAACTTTATGGTCATTACACATGTACAAGTACAAGGCAACGAAATACAGTTTAGGTCTAACCAGGAGTGCAATAGCAGCAAGTGCAGGATATAGGTACTGGATAAGTTATAAAGTGCAATTATAGAAAAACTATAATGATATTTACAAATGGATGTACTATGAACTTTATATACAGGTTATATTAACTATGAACAGAGATTAACAATAGACGAACATATGTACAGGTTGCTATTTATTAGAAGTGTGCAGAAGGATATGAACAATTATAAATGTATATGTACGGTGGGTATGTACAATTCAAAATGAATTGAATGAGTCAGTGCAATGTAGTGCGATGAATGTGCAATTTTTAAATATTAATATTAAATAATTTTGTGATTATGGAAAGTGTAAGTTATGAGGAGAGTGTGGGGGTGTATGAGGGGGGCTACTGTTACGGGTAGTTGTACTGTGCATGTGTGAAGTCTTTTTCTCTCTCTCGTTCTCAATTATTCGCAGGTGTAGCGGATTACAATGGATCGTGATTGGTGCTTGGATTGGCAGTGGCCATATTTAAAACACCAGCAAACAACTCAGCCCTCCACTCTCTCTCTCAATTCCCGCTCATTATTCTTTGTGGAGATGTTGATATTGAATAATGAAAATTGAGCGACTGTTGCTGATGACTCTTGTTGGCGTTTTGTGAGATGCCGATGTAAAGTTGTACATTTCAACCGGAGAAACACGGTTTTCTGTCTCCATGTCTGGCTTGGAGCATGGAGGTTTGGTGCCTTCTGTTAAATTTTTTTGTTTTCTCCTGTGTTGTTAGTAGGGAGGCAAGTTTTCCGTATTTTATTTTTTAATTTATTTTCCAGGGAAGTCTTCTCTAATTTAGTTAGTTTAGTTTATTGGTTTATTATTTTGTCTCAACCCCTCCCGATGTTATTTTGCTCCTTATCTTTTGTAAATAAACAATACTTTCTTGTTAATTCTCAGTGGTTTGTGTTTTGGTTTATATCTTGGGAAGAGAGAGACGCAGGCACCAGATATTATATTTTTAATTACTGTTATCTTGTTAAGTTTTTGGTTTCATTTCTTTTTAAGGGTTTTTTATTTTTTCATAACAAAACACATGGGCTATTCGGACTTCTGAGTTGATGCACTCTACAGTCTTTATTCTCTGCAATGATAATAAAGTCAAATAAAATCTAATTTAATTTCTCAAACAAATCATTCCACAGGTTTTTCAAGCAACTGATCCCATGACAACAATTGTGTTGGTTACCAAGATGTCATTTCCAGAGGTCTATTTATATCTATCTCCCGATATGAGGGGTTTCCATGGAGACTGCATTTTAGAGCAGGTCATCAACAAATGAAGCTCTATATATGGGAGCTCATTAATATGAATGTACTCATCAGAATTTTTAATATACACACCCAATTCTATTAGTTTAACTCTTAATACACTTGTATCAGTGTTGTACTACATCAGTACTGCTATGCTTTTAAAAACAAAAATTAAAAACAAATATTTTATTGGGGGAAAAAAAATTCTCAATGTTTTTTTGTCTTGATTTTCTTCAGCTTTAAGACCTTTTTAGAGCAACCATTATTATACACTGAGAGATGCACAAGTCAGATCCGGTTTATGAGTTTTCACCAAGCAGAAATAGCAGATCTGAGATCATTTTAACAGGGAAAACATACATAATTTGTATTTAAAAAAAAAAAAAAAAAAGTACAAAATTAAAGGCCCATTCATAAAGAGTCATGTGATTCATGGCAGCAGCACTGGTGCCTGGGACGGATCATAAAGCCGGCTATTGATTCTATAACTACTGCTAACCACTCTGCCAAATGCATGTGGGATTCCTCCAAGAATTCAAAATATCTCTGGCATTTGGCATTTTATGAGGGAATTATCGACTTAACGCTTGAAATAAAACATTCCAGTGAAGTGTGCAATGCTGACGCAAACCAACGGATGGGCTACAGTAGCAGAAGACCACACCGGGTGCCACTCCTGTCAGCTAAAAACAGGAAACTGACGCTACAATTCGCACAGGCTCACCAAAATTAGACAATAAAGGATAGGAAAAACATTGCCTGGTTTGATGAGTCTCGATTTCTGCTGCAACATTCAGATGGTAGGGTCAGAATTTAGAATTAACAACATGACAGCATGAATCTATCCTGCCTTGTATCAATGGTTCAGGCTGGTGGTGGTGGTGTAATGGTGTGGGTGATATTGTCTTGGCACAATTTGGGCCCATAAGTACCAATTGAGCATCATGTCATTGCCAAAGCATACCAGAGTATTGTTGCTGACCATGTGCATCCGTTTATGACCACAGTTAACTCCTCTTTATATCTTTTATACACACACATATATATATATATATATATATATATATATATATATATATATACACACACACACACACAAACATGCACACTTTAATAAAATCAGGTGGTTTTAAGAGTTTCTTTCTACTGTTAAACACAAGATATTTTGAAGAAAAGTGAAAACCTGTAACCATTGAACACCATGGTAGAAAAAACAAATACTATACCAGCTTTCTTAATAATAATAAACTAAAAAAATAGAAGTAAAGGGTGAGAAAATTATGACTGAATTCATTTTTGACTCAACTATCTCTAGAAGACACTTTAGCACATGACAGAAGAGAGCGTGGTTTGAAACACAAACATCAGCGTGATACTATAAAGAAATCAGATAAATAACACCGTAAAAAACTCTTTTTTTTTATAAGGATACTTTAAATACTCACCGATTGACACAGATACAAGGGCGTGGGAGAAAACGGAGTGTGTTTCTATCAAATCCTCAGCCATCTGGGGATGCATGCAAAAACTACAAACACATAATAATCAGAACATGGCGTTACAATGAAAATGCAACACAAAAATTTGATTAATCAGCAAGTTTACTTAAACATGAAACATATAAATCCTCAAGTGATATAATCCGCACGTGTCATGTAAAGCGTAACAAGCGGCTGTCTTGTTATAACTACTAAGTTACATCCGTTAAAAATAAAGAGGACAGCAGCTCCAAAAGATCTTGGATAAAATATCTGATAAAGGCATCGAGCAAAGAGTGAATTGGGTGTGTTTGTTCCCCATGCACATGTGAGGGAATTTCTGACACTCACCAAAGCACGGACCACACTCCAGTAATGAGGCTGTGCACGAAAGACGTGGAGATGTTGTTCCATTTCCAAGCGTTCCTCCGAGCCGTCTCGGGGATAGGAAGTTTGCCCAATCCGTAGTTTACTAATTTGAAAAATCCCACCGAGGATCCAGTGGTTAAAATCACCGAGTTCAACTCCATATTTTGAGCGCGCGCTTGTTTTCTACTCGAGTCTCTGGTGCGCGTCTACAGCTGAATAAACCCGCTAACGTGACGTTTGATCTGCTATTTAATCATAAATGACATCCCGAGGGTCGGTCTTTATTTCATCTTCACTTTCAGTAATCCAAACATTCACGACTATGTTATCTTAGTCCTCGTATAATTCAAATTTCTCGAGTATTCTATGTTTGTTTGTTAAATAAAAAACTACGCTTTTCGTGTCAGTCTTCGGATTGTTCGCTCGGCTGTAAAGCTAAGAAGACACTGTCGACTCAATTACGAGTGGCAAATCCATAAATTAGTCGCTAACGTGTGCGTTACAAAATCCTGACGCTTGTGTAACTTTTTCTCTTTTACAATAACCAAACAAGAGAATCCCCGCCCAATCATCTTGAGGCGCGGCTGAGCAAATGGGAGTCTCGGGCGTGTTTTTTTCTGCACGTCTAGTCCCGCCTCCTCATGTCAAAGGGGAGTTGTGGGAAATGTAGTGTAGGCGAGGCTTTCATAACCTGCTTGTGAAAGAAGATGATAACCTTCAGTATAAATAAGTGTTCAGTAGACAGATTAAAATTGACTTAAGCATTGTACTGTACATTATACTAATAAGCATTATACTCCATCATACTGTACGTCTGAAAAAAATCTGTGAATTATTTTCGCCTATTTACACAAATCTGACTGATCTGACTGTGAACAACTTGACATTTCAAAATCTAATCAAATGAGGAAGACATCAACATTACCTTGAACAATCAAGTGAGGAGAGATTGGTAGCATCAGTTTTTCAACATCAACTGCTGTAGCTGCAAAAAAGATAAATATAATAAGAGTAAAATAAGACTTAACATTTAATAATCTAAATCTATGGTACAACCATACCAATCTGTATGGGGTTCAAATAAATTTGTATACAAATCATTCCCTACACCTGAACACCAAAAATAAAATGTACAATTAATGATACACTATACAATAAGCTCATTAACCAGTGAGAAATAGACAATTAATATGTATTATGTTAATATTAACGTTAGCTTAAAAGACATCAACTGAATTTTATTATCAGCTCAATTTAATAAAACAGTTTAGACTTGTTTCATTGTGAGTTAAGTTTAAATAACTAACTTACAGTTAACAAATTTAAACATAATGATAACTTAGTCATAATGACTTTTATAAATAAATCTGCCATGAGGACAAGGGTGTAGATTTAGTTTTGATATTGGTGAGGATATAACTTCACATTTAAATTGTAAAATTAAAGAATTGTCTGACAAAAAGGTGGTTCATTAAAGACTTCTGTTTTCTGAGGGCTTATTTGAGCATGATCACTTACCACCACATCTGAACACATTTTTGCAAGTATAATATTGCCATTTATGTCTCCATATTTATGCACTTTAGGCTAAAAGATGACTTTACATGTCCATGTTCTTTTCCTTCTCTGAGCGTGCAAACAGTTCTATTTCACACAAAAAAAATTTAAAAAATAAATAAACCAAATACAATTAGAAATAAATTAGACATTTTACCACAAGATTCTGTATGTAACACTGATCCTGTAAGTCTTCTACATCGACTTGTTCATTTTCTGATGATTTTTGGTTGTAGGGTTGATTTTTTATTCATTTTACAAAATATTTAACTTTGATGAATGTATAATTCTTTTTCTTTTTCTTTTTTATTGTCAAACTGGCAATAATACACTCAAAAATGCCTTAAAGTTGATAATTTTTTATGGGAAGTTTCACATACAAGACAATTTTTTCTGTAAATATTTTAAAATAATTTCTAATTCTTTGACCTCAATTACAAGAAACCCATTGGGAGACATATATCATTATTATTATTATTATTATTATTATTATTATTATTATTATTATTATTATTATTATTATTATTATTATTATTATTATTATTATTATTATCATCATTATTATTATTATTATTATTATTATTATTATTATCATGTTTTGCATCACTGATGTTAAGTTTTGTATGCCTGTAACATATCATCATATAATCCTATATGCTTGTCAGTTATATGCTTTGAAAAAAAATTTACACAGTTCACGTGGCTTGGAAAGCACAGTCATCATTTCTGGTGTCGTACGACATCTTGTGGTTCATAATGCAGGATTAGCCGCAGCTGTTTTGCAGTTCTTCAAAAACATACACTTGAGGTGTGGCTGAAACCACGTTTATGCATAGTCCATGCGGTAAATAGATTGGTCAAAATTGTGTCATTATTCACTTGCTCTCCAATCCTGCGAATACAGAAACAATAAACGAGAAATAGCTAAAGCTTTTTAATGTTTTTCAGCCTTAAAAAGAAAGTCAGTGGCAACCAAACTAGTTTGCCAAAAATGCGGCCTACTGTTGTGATCTGCTGAATTCCAGTATGGTTTAGAACAACATACGGGTGATTATTATCGCATTGTAATTTTTGGTGAACTGTCCCTTTAAGAAACATTCCCAGCAAGATTTCTGATCCCTTGTGTGATTAGATCTACTGTACAGATTACTGGGTATATTTACTTACAAATTACAACTTGTAGTCTATTACGACTGCTGGATTAAAGCAGTTTCAATTTATTAGAACTTTATCTAGCTAAGTTGTGCTGGATGCCTTTATTTAATACCCTAATTTAAAAAAGAAACCAGTATCCTCTCTTATATTTCTTACCTAGATTTTTGTTATAGGACCATCTTTTATATTGTCTTTCAATGAATAATTTATACCTTACCACAGGTTTCTTGATGGGTTAATGAAGCCAATGTCCACTCCAGGAAGAAAATTAATAAAAAAAACACTTTTATTAATAAAATAAATCCAGTGAAAAAGATGAATGAAACAAAGACCTGTACAAGAACAAAACATATCCCTTACTGAGTTGAGATTAAAGGGCCCAAGCATACAGAAATCTAAGCGCACTGCTGGTCTGTATATGTCCCAGCCTTTTATTTTCAAGTCTTTTGAATACAGGTGTGCCTTTAATGTTATAATCAATCTTTGCTACACTTGAGTATATCTCAAAAATGTTAACACAGAGAAAAAATCCTTTTTGTTCTGAATAAATTCATATAGCAATAATCAATGTTTGATATACTCGAGTATGTCTCAAAAGTCTGATATATCTCAAAAGTCTGGCTTACCTGAGTAGCCTATATCTCAAAAGGATAATTGTGGAGCTTATAACTCTCTAGGGTGATACATTTTATTAAAAAATATAGCAAAGTGTCTCTTCTACATCAGCTTTTGGGCAGTCTTTCAGGGGTCTTGTCCTCCAAGGCAAAGAATATTAATTCCTCTGAAGATAACGCTCCCAAGCTTTCTGTTGATTAGAAGTGTCATCTGGACCATTTCTTCCTTTATTGTCAGCTGAAGACTGACCCACTTCAGTATATCATCCTTGACCTCTTTGAGCTCTGTGTCAAAAGCGTCTCTTGTCATTGCTTATAGCTATGTAAAGTTTTGTGTCTTTTAAAATTAATGTCATTAAACAGACAAAACAATGTTGAGCTGCTTTCACACAATCTACATTGTAAAAGCGCAATAGAAAAGATTTATTGAATTGAATTGAACTGCTACATGCTAGGAAGTGTAGTTAGTCTCCCAATATTGTTTAACCTACACATTTTAGGTAATGCATTCTGACTTTTGAATCCCTTTTATATTTCATTACTAAATAAACAGCTTAATATATTTTACAGGTAAATTAATTACACAGTAAAGTAGGCAATAGTTATTTTAAGAAAAATATAATGTTTCATACACACAAAAAAACTAAATATATAAATTATATTAAATGTTGTAGTTTGAAGCATTTTAACCTGTTTATTAAGTCTTTTAAAACATTTTCTTATTTGTTTACACACATAAACTAATTAATTATGATCTTATAAAAAGGAGTAGTAATCTTCAAATAGCTTTCTTTTATAGCAAGATATTATTAATAATACACATCAGAAACAAAAGAGGGGAATCACTTTACAGAGCTCTTTACATTAACAGCGTCGCGTGCTCTGATTGGCTGAGAGCCGCCGTCGCTGCTGTGTCATGATGAGCTGGTTTCACAAAGAGTTATCCTCTCAATGGGCTGCAAAGAAACCGACTGACAGCAGTTTGAAAACCGGAGGATTTTATCTGGACAGGTAAGAGAGTAGAGAAATTGTTGGGAAATTACAAGTAATAAAAAGTAAAATAAGGGGAAAGTAGCATATCGTTTACGAAAACGAACTCTGTATTTTATATAACTTTAGTAGGCTAATGCAAACATGATTTGGGTGCATTTACTTCTGTTTGAATCACCACAGTTTTACTACAAATATCATGGTTAAATATGGCTAGTGTTGCAAAATCATTTAGGTTACCATGGTCGTCCATGGAAAGAAACACAGTTAATTGCCAGCGGCGTTAACATTCATCTGAGCTCAAGGTGTATTAATCTGTGATAGCTGTGACTTTACAAAGCGTCTTTTTTTAAGCTATCAATGAATGTATTAATCTTGCGTTTGTATTTTGGATAACCGCGTTTAAACATACAAATCTTGTTTTACAGATAGCCCAAGTGACAAGTTCAGTCCTATTTCTCCAATTTAGTATAAGGTAAACATCATTGGGAGTGGTTTGACTAGACGTGCTTTGCTACAATGGTAGGCTAATAGCCTACCTAGTGTTGTCTGAAATACATCTTTTGGAGACAAACATTGGCAACTTTGTGTTTCTTCATTATATGTCAACAGCTTATAAACCAATGGAGGCAAAACAGTGTAAAGAGGTCACGGAGATGGTGTGTTTGGAGTCCGATCTGCAGGATGGACAGTAAGAAGGGACTTTTATTTTACATATTTTATTACAGGATTCTTGTAATTAACTGTAGGCTACTATACTCTAACTGTTAAGCAGATAAGAAACGTTATATTGATTTATTGGTAATTCACAAAAATCATAAAAAAGTCATAGAAAAAAATAAATAATTTAATTTAAAGAAATTAATTACATTTATCCTAAATTTACTCACTTTTTATCAGTTGAACAAATGCAAGTCAATGACAATCAACACTGAGAAATAATAATAATAATAATAATAATAATTTTCCAACTTTATATAAACTTTTAAAGAATGAACAGGCTATTTCTATTTTAAAAGTTCCATCAATATCATTAAAAATATCTCCTTTTTAATCAGCTCAATGTTACATGTGTTCATCTCACAGAATGAAGGAGGTTCTGGTGGATGAGAATAAAATCCTGTTGGTGCGCAATAATGGAGAATTTACTGCTGTCGGTGGTCTTTGCTCTCATTATGGTGCTCCACTTATCAAAGGTAGGGTGTAGT